GAGACAAGAGTTTCACTATCTCACCCTTGGTAGAGTGCCGTGGCATCACAGCTCATAGCAACCTCAAACTTTTGGGCTTAAGTGATTCTCTTGCTTCAGCCTCTGAAGTAACTGGGGCTACAAGTGCCCGCCACAACACCTGACTATTTTTTGGTTGTAGTTGTCATTGTTGTTTGGCAGGCCTGGGCTGGATTTGAACCTGCCAGCTCTGGTGTATGTGGCTGGTTCCCTAGCTGCAGGCACTGAGACCAGTTTTATATTTTTATCCTTTGATTTTTATTTAATAATCACTTTTTATATTTTAAATTACAGCTAGATAGGAAGAATATGTACTATTGTTTTATAGCACCGTAGGGAGAATATGTTTAGCTAAACTTAGTATATAGTTTTTAGAAGGTAAAGGAGAAGATTTTGAATGTTCATAACCAAATGATAAATTTGAGGTGATGAATATGCTAATTGTATTAATTACCCTAATTTGATTATTATACATTATATACCTTTATGGAGATATTACTCTGTATTCCCTAAGTTTGTACAGTTACTATATGTCAACTAAAAATGAAAGGGCAAATATTTTAGGTTTATGCTCTTGATTGCTAGAAGACCCAGCTTAAACTGTGTTAAAACAGCAAGGGGACTTACTGGGTTTTAAGTGTGAAAAGTTCAGATAGGGTGAACTTCAAGGTTATTTGATCCAATATCTCAAGGGTACAATTTCTGTCTCTTCTCACCACTGTCCTGATTGGTGGCTTTCTCCAAAGCTGGCTTTCATCAGGGATTGGCCAGAGCATAACAGGTACATGCTATCTTTTTTTTTTTTTTTGAGACAGTCTCACTGTGTTGCCCTCAGTAGAGAGCTGTGGCATCACAGCTCACAGCAACCTTAAACTCTTGGGCTTAAGCAAGTTCTCTTGCCTCAGCCTTCCAAGCAGCTGGGACTAAAGGCACCCGTCAGAATGCCCGGCTATTTTTTGTTGCAGTTGTCATTGCTGTTTAGCTGGCCTGGGCCAGGTTCAAACCCACCAGCCCGGGTGTATGTGGGCTGGCGCCCTAACCACTGAGCTATGGGCACCACCCTTTCATGCTAATCTTATTCATGTCTGGTGTAGATGAGAAGCTGCTTGTCCTTTACCTATCAGAACTTTTCAGGTGACTGTCACAAGTTTAAGTAGAGTTGTCCATCTATGAACCAATTGCTGCCAAGAAAGTTGAAATATTTGGGTGGCACCTGTGGCTCAATGGGTAGGGCGCTGGCCCTGTATACTGAGGGTGGAGGGTTTAAATCCAGCCCTGGCCACACTGCAACAAAAAAATAACCAGGTGTTGTGGCGGGTGCCTATAGTCCCAGCTACTCGGGAGGCTGAGGCAAGAGAATCGCCTAAGCCCAGGAGTTAGAGGTTGCTGTGAGTTGTGTGATGCTACAGCACTCTACCGAGGACAATAGAGTGAGACTCTATCTTTACAAAAGAGAAATTTACCTGATTGTCTTTAGCCAGCCAGATTTTGTCCCTGGATCTGAGAATAGGGTCAGGCTCACCGGAACAGCTTGATCAGCACAGTTAGGGGAAAGTCATTTCCCAAAGGAAATCTGGGTGCTGGAAATGGGTGCTTTGTAAGCAATAAATGAATGTCTTCTACAAATGGCATTGCTCCTTGATTTCCTATTAGTAGTCAAATATTGGCACCTTATGGACTGTCTGATTTTCTTATTTTCTGCTGTTTATCTCTATGAGGTTTTGTTTTCTTTTTCAGAAACAATTTTATGGGCTTTAGAAAATACTCAAGGTTCATCCATGAATGCCTAAGATGTGGTAGAGTAAGAAACAATATAAAATTATAGGTTAGGTAACAGTTTACCATGACTAAGGGAGGTTTTTTAGTGCTTTAGGAGTGAAAAATAGCTAACAAGGTGGTTAGTCCTGGCTATTATCTTTAAATGATATTGTTTATTGGCCTTCATCTTTTTGATGTTTTTTAGCTTAAGAAAAAATGTTAGTTTTGAGTTGTCAATCTCATGATTGAATAGACAGTATTTGCTTTCTAGTACCTGAGGCATAATCTGAAAGAAAGTTCCTTCTGGAAAAGTTCTTAGAATTATTCCACTCTTTATAGTCAGAGAAGGGACACAAAAGCTATAGCCAACATTTAAAACAGGTTAATGCTTTATTTACTCCAAGCCTAATAGGCATTTTAAAACCATATCAAATCCATCATATCGGCTCAGCACCTGTAGCTCAGTGGCTAGGGCACCGGCCACATACACCTGTGTTGGCGGGTTTGAACTCAGCCCGGGCCTGCCAAAACAACAGTGAGACGTACAGGAAAAAAAAAAAAAACAAACATAACCCAGCGTTGTGGCGGGCGTCTGTAGTCCCAGCTACTTGGAAGGCCGAGGCAAGAGAATTGCTAAAGGAAAAAAGAAAACAGAAAATTAAAAAAAAACAAACTTTAAACTTAAATGATTGAAAACCAGTTGAAAGCAAAATTCGAAAAAGAAAAAAAAAACACAAATTAAGAAAAGCCTTTCAAATACCTCATTATATAACAGACCTATTCCTTTTTTTTTTTTTTTTCTCTCGAGATGGAGCCTCAAGCTATCCCCCGGGTAGAGTGCCATGGCATCACACTCACAGCAACCTCCAACTCCTGGGCTCAAGCAAGTCTCCTGCCTCAGCCTCCCAAGTAGCTGGGACTACAGGCGCTCGCCACAACACCTGACCATTTTTTTTTGGTTGCAGCCATCGTTGTTTGGCGGGCCCAGGCTGGGGATTTGAACCTGCCACCTTAGGTGTATGTGGCTGGCGCCTTAGCCACCTGAGCCACAGGCGCCGAGCCAGCAGACCTATTTCTAATAAAGAGCTAATATATTCAATCAAAAGACTGTTAGAATTAACTCTCCTCTTATACCTCTGTTTTAGTTTCTCCTTTAATGAATAATATCTCTAGTTAATATATTGAGGGGACTTGCATTTGCAGAAGATTCTTTGTCGTGTTAGCATAACGTAGAATAGAAAATTGTTGGTAGTGATGAAGGAATTGGACAAGCAAAAGGTAGGCATTCACTTCAATCAGAGAGATCCATGAAAGTCGTTCTAGAAGGCCTATGAGGGGTCACGCCTGTGGTTCAGTGGGTAGGGCGCCGGCCCCAGCCAAATTGCAACAAAAAAATAGCCGGGCGTTATGGCAGGTACCTGTAGTCCCAGCTATTCAGGAAGCTGAGGCAAGAGAATCACCTAAGCCCAGGAGTTGGGGGTTGCTTTGAGGTGTGACACCACGATACTCGATACTCTACCGAGGGCAGTAATGTGAGACTGTCTCTACAAAAAGAAAAAAAAAAAGAAATAGAAGGCCTTAAGAGCTTTGCGTTTGGCAAGCAGTGCTCTTTTGTCTTTGACTTTATCTTCTAATACTTCCATTGTATTTTATTCGGGCTCTCCTTTTTAGTTTCTAAAAAGTTTTGTTCTCTGTGCTACTTAGCCTTCCTTTTTCAAAAACAATCTAGTATCCTGTTTTTTTAATAGATATAATATATCCCTTATCTCAGAAAATCATTAATGGTCTTGAAGGTTTTTCTCCTCGTCTTTCCTTTGGGATTCCCCCGCCCCCTGTTTGTTGTGATATCTCTTATTTGTGTTTATTTTCTTCAAGTGTTTAGTGATTTTTGGCTGGCAGTGAAAATGGATTAGAAACTTTGTACTAGGTGAGCCTTGTGCACCTGTGAATTCACTGTAGGGTGAAAAAGTGTGTACCTCAGTGTTAAGTATGGACTTGTATCAAATGTCATTCTTTGTTGGATTTTTTTTCTTTTTGATAGGCCTCTTTGTCTTTCCTGAGAAAACTTTCCCAGTTTTCCACTTAGAGGTTATTCTGGCTGCTGATGTTCTTAGTTTAGAGTGGGCCTAGGGGGACTGAGGATCCCACCAATATGTAGATTTATAGTTAAAATGCCTATTTGCACCCCTAAACCTTACTCCTGCCCTCCATTGTGTCTAGTGAAAGTGAAGCTGGAAGTTCTAGTTCAGCTCCTGTATATTGGTGGCTCTCAGTGAAGTTGGGGATTTGGGAGGAATGATAGTGGTAGTGGTAAATCTCGCTCCTCCCACCCCCCCACCCCCTCACATTTGGCAATGTCGGAGACACTTTTTAATTGTCATGACTGGGATGAAGTGCACAGGACATCCCTATAGCAAAGAAATATCTGGTTTAAAGTTAGCAGTCGTGCTAAGGCAGAGAAACTCTGCCCTAGAGAATAATCCCTTGATTAACCCTCATGAGGGTTTATGTGGTGGGGTGATAGTGGTATGTGTACAGGGGTCAGGAGTATAATTACTCTGTACACATAGTTTAATTTAGGCCTCCAGTTTTTAGCCTTTTATCTCATCCTTTCCCTGTGATATCTGATTCCTTTCAATCTCAGGTCTTTCCAGCATTCTGTGGGGGAGTTTTTATATTTCATATTCCTGATTACAAAGACTTAAGTTGTATTCCCTCCCTCTCTGCTTTGAGTTATAGTTCTCTGCTGGCTTTCTAGCTTTGCAAATTTGATACACATGATTTACCACTTATATATAGGAAATCTTGGTTTCAGAATGAAAGTCAGAAGAAAAATATAACACAAAGACATTTGTTCTTTGCAATTTCTATTTATTTATGACACTTAGGCATCGTTATTATGATGGTAATAAATGGTGGAGATGAGTTTGTGTAATTGTGTTAGAATAAATTTTATGTGGGTTAGTAAAAAAATTAACTGTTAAACTTACATTAAACTTTATTTTAGTGCCATGAATGGAAAATTAACTGTTCAAGAAGAACAGATTGTGGAACTGATTGAAAAAATTGGTGCCATTGAGGAGGAACTAAGTAGGGTAAGCATTTAAAACAGCATTCAATGTTACCTGAAAAGCAAACACTATTAAGAAACTTTTAGAATGTGAAGGACCTGACATAGTTTCCTTCTTTAAGATTTTTTCTGGCTGTTATACTGAAAGTAAGTTGGGATCATGATTTTACTGTCATCAATGATAATGAAAAAAGCTTAATGAATGCAGTATTTTCAGAAGATAACTGAATAATGCAGTTTTGTTGTATACCTACAAAATAGTGAGTGCCAAGGCATTTTTGTTGACATGATTATCAGAGGAAGGGCTACATATATTGGGAGAGAAAGGTTATTAAGTAAAAGTGATAACTAAGACAACAAACCGGACCCTTCAATGTTTCCTTTACATTAATACATTTGTATTAAAATCCATAGACAGTGTTGGAAGAAAACTGAAGAATTGGTATCCATATACCAGACCTGTTATCTAATCTAATCTCACAGTTTAGAATAAGTTTACAGGAGAAGACAGGTGCCATATAAAATAGCTGGTCACTTGTTATAACTTTTGTATAATTTGTTTCATTCTTCTAATGTCATATTATGGGTTAGCCAGATGTCTTAACAACCAGATCAGCCTTTTTTAATTCTTAATGTTTAACATATTTAGGTTACAGAGTTGTTTATGACTAATAAAAATGAACTTGACCAGTGTAAATATGACCTGCAAAATAAGACCCAGGAACTTGAAAGCACTCAAAAACATTTGCAAGAAACTAAATTACAACTTGTTAAAGAAGAATACATCACATCAGTTTTGGAAAATACTGAAGAGAAACTTCATGATGCTGCTAGCAAGGTTTGTCCTTTGTTTTGATTTGTATTTGCATTAAGTATTAAAGAAATTTAACTTCTTAACAAATTAAACAAATTAAAGAATGAGTAGAAGTAACTTTCTGTGCTTAAGTGTTAATTGTGAGATTTTATTTATTCATTCCAAATGATATTTCTGTCAATTTAAAAATTATTTTACTCTTTTATCTATATTTTTCTCCCTGGAGATTCTGACTTAAGAAAAAACTAGTCCTGGAGTCTTGAAAATGGAACATGACTATGTAGTATATTTTGTGGACTTTTAGAATAATGATGCTATGGTGCTTTTTCTTTGTGGTGATGATTCAACCTAATCAGTCACAAAGAATTCAGTACTTTTTAATAATGGAAGATTTTGAGAGTCTTTAATTTCTTATTAGGTGTACTTTTGAGGAAGTGGTAGAAGATAATAGGAAAAAAATTTTCAGGAAGCATAATTATTGCAATAAATTGGCAAAATCACTTTTCCTTGCTTGCATAAATGGCTAGCAGAGGGGAAATAAACATTCCTGGGAATCTAAATAAATTAAAGCATGGGTTAAGTACTTCTTCTGATACAATGTCTAAAATTTTCTAGTTCTTGTCAGGAGAAATCCTTATGTAGCACAGATGTTTTCATTAGATTGCTTTTGTCATAACATTTATTTTAAAAAATATTATACAGCTGCTTAGCACAGTTGAAGAAACTACAAAAGATGTGTCTGGTCTCCATTCCAAACTGGATCGGAAGAAAGCAGTTGATCAACACAATGCAGAAGCTCAGGACATTTTTGGCAAAAACTTAAATAGTCTATTTAGTAATATGGAAGAATTAATTAAGGATGGCAGCTCAAAACAAAAGGCCATACTAGAAGTTCACAAGACCTTGTTTGGTAAGTTAAAGCATTTATGTTCTAGTGTTTTGTGTGTTTACTGTGAGGCTAATTTCAAAACAGACGATTTAATTTTGTAACACTTAGGTGACCATACCTCTAATACCCTCCCCAGTGCATTCACTATCTGTTTAGACTAGAGTTAATGCTTTTGCTGTCTTTGCATTATAACAAATCTCAGGGGTTTTTCCCCGTTTTCTACAAAATGCTGTTTGTTAAATGATTAAGAGTGTATTTATAAAAGTCCTCTTTATCCCTGATCCTAGTCCATTCCCTATAGATATTACTGTTAAATTTCCTGGATCTCTTTCTAGTTTTCTGTATGTAAACATTTTTCCTTTCTTTTCTTTTTTATTTCAGATTAATACAAGGGTAGAAGTGATTAGGTTATGTTGTTTGCATTTGTTAGATAAAGTCCAAGTTGTAGTTAATACAAAAATCACCTAGGCTGTAGTCACACTAAGCCAACTGCTATAAATTTTGGTATTGATTTATAGTTTCTCTCTCTTCTATGAACTCTTCCTACTGTATTATGGTAGGAATACTGATAATAATTATTGAATGTTAGTTTTGGTTAGAGATTAATTTTAGAATATTCTAATTCTTTGTTTGCTAGGAGTTATTGTTAAGGGTCTGATACACTTACAAATATGGCAAGGTCCTACAGAACACTATAGAGCATGTATAATGTATATTTAATGTATTTCCTTTCTTATGTAGTGAGCCAGTTATTTTAAGCTTACTTGGTATTGCAAATTCCTCAAGGATATAATTTTGCCAAACTCT